ACGAGCATTGATCATGATTGTAGTAGAGGTCAAATTTACAAAGTTCAAAGACCATGTTCATTTTTTCCTAGTGCCTCTCACAACCACTTACTCAGGTGGTGAGCGATGAGTTATATAGTTTGAAAAGTACGAATATGTAGGTTGAGGTGCCTCCAAGGATGAAGTTCCTCTTGGTTTTACGAAACTAAAAGGAAAAAAAAGCAGAAAAAACCCTATAGCTACTAGTGAGTGGAGGAAGCAGGAGGATGAAGCATTGCACAAGCAAGCTCCCCCTAGAATTCTTTAGACAGTTAGACTCATAACGTGATCCTACCAACATACACGTTGCTTGATCCTTGTGATATCTACTCCTACCTTGTTTCATGATAGCCACTAAGATCTGATATGCAACAAGGACCCTACATATTTCTCCTGTGAGGTGACACACAGCTCAATCGATTGATTATCAATCGCATAGGATGGTTGTATCCGGTCTTCACCTTATGAAAATAGGATATCAAGGCATACATCTCAAATTTATCTATGCTTTGTGAAGTTCTCAACCAATCGACAATAAATAGCACAAAAGAACAACACAAAAAATTAAAGAATCATAACATCGTATCTATGCCAAAATCGAACATTACAAAATCTAGAACCTCTAGGTTTCGTCCACCTATGCAACTAATGGAACTAGCCGAACATGGGGATGAGATAAAATGGATAAATTAATCAAAGGAGATTCCCTTGGAGTTCTCAAAATTAGTACTAATAGAGAATTCGAGGACTAGGCCGTCGATTCTGGTGTCGATTTTGCTCGGGTAACCAATGTCACTCTAAGTTGGGTGATACACTTTGTCTCTAATGCCTCCTATCATTGGCTACTGAACTACTCTCCCTAGTGGTCTATTTATAGACTTCCTATTAGGGTTTGGGGGAGATAGGATTAGGACGGTTATATCCAGCGTCTTTGAGTCCCTATCAATCTCCACCAACTTGGCCATCACAAAAATCATATTCCTTGAATATTTTGGCAACTTCTGGACGAGCCTCAATACGACAGTGCGAGCGTCGTTTTGCTGATTAGGTTACCGATTTCAGTGTCCTTTTTGTCCTTCTCCATTTCCTGCTTGTGGCTCCTAATAGTCAAGTCTTGATGTCTCCCAATACTTACAAAGTGATCCACTAGATTGCTATGCCTTGGAAACACTCTAAACACTACCAAGAGTGCATCAAACTGATAAAAATAAGCCTAATGCTAATAGAATGCACTTTGAGTGATCATGCAACAAATCCAATATATCATGACGATAAAAGTATTAAAACAATGAGGTTCTGATCATAATATGGGGGGTATAAAAGAGTACTTTTTACTTGTCATCAGGCATGCATATGATAATCACAGACATGCCTTTCCAAAGGGTCACTACTATGATTTTATCTAAAGACCTAAGTGAAACGACGAGTTTTAGAGAATCACAAACATGAACACTAGAATCACGATCATGATTCCTAATTGTGATTCTGCCATTGACGAGTATAGAAGGGGTTTGTAAAATTCAAATAGAGGTCCGAGTTTTATATTGAGAATCTGAAAGAAGGAGAGCCTTAAAGCGAGAAAGCGATGAAGGATTGCTCTTGGAGATGATTTTGAGGATTCAACCGCCAATGAAGCTCAGAAATCAAGACTCGAAGTGAAGATTGATGATCGAAAGCTGATTTTTACCACCACCATGTTGTTCTTTGATTCCTCTTTTATAATTTCTTTCTTCTCCATGGAGTGTGTTATGGGTCAATCCAAGTACCACATCGAAAATACAAGGGAAGGAACACTTCTATATTAGTGTCCACCAAGCTCATTAGTGCGGGGCCTTTTGGGGAGGACACCCAAGAGTAAAACCGTGCGGGCTTTGCCCAAAGCAGACAATATCGTACTAATGGAGCAACCCAACTTTATGGCAAATGGTATCAGAGCCTGGTTTGGATTATGGGCGGTGGACGTCATTTTGGTGGTCCCTCATTCGGTGAACTCGGAATTTGAGATCTGCGTCTAGTTTGGCAGACAATATCGTACTAATGGAGCAGCCCGATGTGTGACAGAGTGGAATCCCTCCTCACTTGGGTATGATGAACCGTAATTTTGTACATTTTATGATTGTTTGAGGCTCTAGTAATTTGAATCTTAGTTTGTAATTGATTGATGCATATTTTAGTTAATCATTTGAATCATGATCACGTTCCTATGATTTATGCTTTGACCTAGGAGAGATAAATTCTGAATAGGTTGATTAAAGCAACGCCAATTGGTGGTAGGGAATTGATTGCACAATAGTGAATCGATTCACTGCTTTGTATTGGGTTTCAATCCAATCACAGGAATCTAAAGTGTATTGCCTTGGATTCTGTCTTAGTTGATGATAAACTCCCTCTAAGTAGTCTAATAAGGCGGGGTCGCGATTGCTTTAATCAAGATTCCTGACTTCTCAAGGATTCTCTACAATATGAACTTCGAGTGAAATGAATGACAACACCTGAATTGGTGTTATTTACCATTCCATTTATTAGGTGTTTGTATGCCATATTCATTATCTTTGGCCATTTGAGATGGATTTTGTGCGATATTTGCTTCTCAATGTCATACTCTAAGATTTAGCACACATTTATCATTCTTTGGCCATTTGGCTTGAAACTTGTTTATTCTCATCCTATTCTAGGCTATATGATGTTTATTTGCTTCATTTATGGCCCTATCATCATAAGGAATTGATGTTCCAAGTTTTGTGTCAATTGAAATTCGTTTGAAGGGTGAAAAGAAGGTGGAACGATGACCGTTGTCAAGTTCACGGACAAGGAAAAAAGTTCAACTTCATTTCATGACCGGGAACTCCAAAAGGGCGGCCAACGATAAGTATGGAAGGTCTCATGGCCAACCTCCGACCACGACAAGCATACATGGAGAAAAGGTTCATTGCCATGAGAAAAAGATCCCAACCGTGATCTTTGGTCTCAAGCCATGAACTCAAGTTGACAACCTCCTGTCAAAAGTTAATTGTCGCGAACTTTTGTTCACAGGCCGTGAGCCTGTCCTTACCAAAGATCCACATCTCTTCTCAAAAGATCCAGGCCGTGAACCTTGTTCACAGACCGTGATCGCATAATTCCCAATCTATAAATACAAGGATATGTTTTAAAACAAAAGAGGATCATCCTAGAGAGAGAGAAAAACATAGCATGAGAAGATGTAGAGTGAGAGTGACGAGTTTGGGGGGGGGGTGTTGGGTGATTTCTTCATCGTCCAATTTTATGTCCAAAACATAGAGTCCTAAAATAGGGCTTCATTCGAAGAAATGTAAATGAGGTCACAACATCAAGTCAAGTGATTATGCTCAAGGGTGTACCATTATGAGGGGGTCCAATGTTATGAAGGTATTAACGATGCCTATTTGTCAGAGAGCTTAACTTTTGCATGATTATCTTCACGAATGTCAGAGACTCAGAGGCGTGGCTCAACGTTCTAAAAGTGTTAACAATGCCTATTCGCTAGACTCAGAGGTGATTTGAGATGAAACTTTCTGATTGATTTGTTCTTTATGACGTGAATCACTGAAAACCGTCAACAACCATTAATAATATGATCGACGATCTACACTCATCAAGTAAGACATAAACTGTTTGCTTCCCTCTTGAACCCTATAAATATCATCATTCTTTCTACATTCACAACACAACATTTCTTGCTCTTTCCCATCATTAAAGAATTTCCTTCTACACTCCTTTTTTTTTTTTTTTTTGACAAGGAAGAATCTTTATTGCATTTCAACTGAACCAGTTACAAGAAGAACATGAAGAACCAAAGAAATGGATCCAGTGAGAGGAGAGAAACAAAGAACAACCGATTTACAAACTGTGCTCAAGGATGCAACAAGGGAGACACAAAGCACAGAATGAAAACCAATCACAGAGAAGATCCAAACACACGGACCAAAACAGGAACCACAAAATCCCTCTTGCAACCAATCAATCAAACCACAACAAGATTAGGTCAGCTTGTCTGATCAAATCGAAATCCATGACTGTTGAGCAAAGCAAAGCCATGTGCCGCCTCCTGGGGATTGCCAAAGACATCCATCATAGTGAATCTCGGTGAAGATTACATGGCGGTGGAGAAGGATATGAACCAGAATGCTCCAAGCTGAGAAGGCAGAGGGGTAAGGAATAGAGATCGGGTTTCGAAGAGGTCCAAAGGCCACCGCTGAACCGATTTCCACCGCCGCAACCAGAGAAGACTCACTTCCACAAACCGACGACCAACCAAGCAACACCCACATCCTGGGGAGGTCGGAGAAGGAAAGATGAGAATGGCTTCATCAAAGGAGATGAGACCACCAACCTGGACGACCAACCACCGCAAGGGTCAGATCGAGACTCCAAGCTGCAAACACCAGGTCCCCCAAACGAGCAAGCCTCGACTAGGAAAATCCTAGATCTGAAACGCCATAACGGCAGGAGAGACTGAAATCCGAAGCTGAAAAAACCAAAAGCCAGGCCACAAGAAACAACGACAGGAAAAAAGAAGAAGCAATGAAAATAAAGGGCATGGGTTGCCGCCGGTCACCAAAAGGAGCCGGCGGCAGCATTGGAAGGCCGAGGAAGTTAAGACTTTTAGGAGAGAATGGAGAGCAAAGATGGAAAGGTAAAGTAAGAGAGTCCTTCTACACTCGTAGCACCTCATTTCTTCCTCTTTTCCACCTTCCAAGAATTTATGAGTACGGTCAATGATTGCGGTCAAGCCAGAACTCTCGAACCAGAAAAAATTTCTCCTATCAAAGCTCCTCACAAGCCTGTGTCCGAATTCTGCCAGAAATGGACAATGGAACTCTAAAGATACCTACGATTATTTATTGTACAGTGAAATTTGTGTATATTGACACATTAACATTCCACTCATAAGATTTATTCCATGGAATGTTGATATTTAATAAAATTTCACATTCCGCCATCCAATAGACCCTTTAGTTAGACCCACAAAACCGAACAAGTATTCAACCGCAAGTAATATTATAACAGTGTCATTGTTACAAACTTACAAGCAGCACTAGTTAGTTTCATGATAAGATCGATCAAAATTTTTTACAACACAAGCTTAAGTGAGGCCTCAAACCTAATATTGGACATTTCACATTCTTTATGAGGTCTAGAATCCCTACGACAATTACACAAGGGACTCGTTATTACTTATAATTTTCTCGAGTTACACTAGGTAGGCCAGTGCTGGAAAAGGAAGTCTCCCTTTAAGACAACAACTCATCCTCCACTCCTCTTCTTTGTTTGCCCTTGTACTTGCCTCCCTTGACCTGCCTGAACGATAATCCAACTGGACATTGTTAGCCAACTTTATCCCTAGACCCAACTCTTTCTTCCTTTTCATAGATAAGGACTAAAAATTCCCAGATTTTTTTGCTATCATAACTGCATATCTATAAATAACATCATACGATCAATGGAGTAACTCACAGCAGGTCTTTGACCAGTCAGCCTCCGTGTTGATGGAGCTCGTGCCACAGATGAAGCTGCTGCAGCAGCGGCAACACGTATTCTGCGAAAGTTCAAACAGAATTTGCAGGTCAATATCTCTCAAACTCACAGCATAACTAATCCCTCGGGAAACTCTATTCCAGAGGTACATACTTTCTATGAACATCAACATATTCATCAGTCTCATCCACAATTTCCTCCTGCATTGAATGGAAGGGAATCAGCAAGTGTACGAAACATGAAGCCTAGCTATTACAGAAATGCGGAATTTTACGAGTTAAACTTACTTGAAGCAATTCCTCAAACACATCTTCCAGAGTAATAATACCAATGACTTCCCCATCTTCAATCTCCTCTGGAGCAGAAAGTAAGCTGTTCGTGGCAATGCCATTAAGCAACTGTGTTTTCTTATTTGAGGTGTTCCTCGATGCTTTTTCAACTTCGATCACGAAATTTTCTGATTTATCTTGCTTGGTCAGGAGCGGGGTACTCAACTTGGAAATAAAATTCCCAAATTTATTTTCGTCGAAAACTTCTCCATCAGTCGTAGATTGTAGACTTTTGGTCTTGTCTTTGACCTTTACCACAGCTGCCATATGACTACTTCCCTGCTGAAACTCGTTTAGGATATCATACAAAGGCATATCTGATGGAACCCTGGCAAAACATATAGAAGAAAGAAATCACATTTCCTTTTTCTCATCTTCTTTTCTTTTGCCAGATTAATCATACAATACTGAAAGAGGAAAACCATTGGGAGAACTCATAAGTCAAGGGTGTACCTAGGCATTCGCCGGATGGAAACTGCACTAACTGGAGTTTCCGTTTCAGGACGAACCGTAAGAAGGTTCTTCACCTAATCCACACCCAAAAAAAGCAAATCATCCTGAAATCAGTTAGAAAGCAACATAGAGAAAATGTGTAGCTGTTAATAGATATTTCCAAACCCACCAGTAGAAGACCAATGATGTTCTTCGGACTTTCGGAGTATATAGGAACGCGACTATGACCACGTGCAAGAATTTTGCCAATTGCTTCCCTGCAAACAGAGATACATGGTTTCATATCCATAGTCATGGCACGTACCATGTTAGTGTATATAAATATTGACTTAAGAAATGGACCCAATCTATGGAAACCGAATGAGACGGCCATAGAAATGGATGAAGCTATTCCCTTAACGCCCATTGCTGAATGGTCGCGACCTATATGCAACACTGACTATCAAATAGAGGCAGATCCTAGTTGAACTGCATCCAAAATAATCCTAGAAGCATCTTGAGTTCATACTTCTGAAAGCAACTTAAGCTAAGACTTGATTGGGTAGATTGTTAAGACTGCCCTTATGGTCTTATGACAAGAAATCACAGAAGGCTGGGACAGATGAGCACAAGGCAGTTTTTCATATCTTTCTTAAGATCCAACAATTTTTTTTTTTTTTAAAAAAAGAACTTATTAAAGTATGAAAACCAAAAGATGGAACAGGCACGCTTTCCCTCATCAATGGCAAAGCCGCAAAGGGGAACACTTCAACACAAGTTTCATCTTTTCGGAAACATTTATATCTGAGGTCTTAGGGTGCCATGCCATCAACAGAAGGAGGGAACATTTACATCTTCGTATTCAGACTTGAAAGTCAAAAGCTTCCATTATTGCTTTGGTAATATCATGCGTACGATGATGACTACATGAAAATGAAAACATAAAGGGCAGCATCAGGATGAACTTACCAATCCAATTTGGACCTAACATCCAGGGAAAATGTTGATTCTATTGGCGTCATAGCTTCCTCCGCTGTCTGCATTGAAAAGAAATAATTCAGATTTGTTCAGCTCAAGACTGGGAGAACAATGAAAACAAGGATAAAAGGTGTGTTAAACCATGCAACGGAAATGTCACCTTTTCTGTCAAATCTAGTGCCCCACTAATGATTGTCGTCTCATCATGTGTGAGTTCACCCCCTTTTCCAGCCTAAGATGGACATAAGTATCAGGAAACTTAGGTTTTCTGGAGCAATATTAGGTTAAATTTGCATGAGATGTCCTTGGAAGTTTTTAGTAGATGTGAAGAGTTTATTCCAGTAAATGCTACCACAATAAGAAGCAATAAGAGTGGTTGATAAATGAAAAAGAAGCAAAAAGAGTGAGTAGAACTTATTCATTTAGCTAGTCAAGCTCAAGCGATGGAGTGGCAGTATGTGTTACCTCTTGGCTGTGGATGGAGACGAGGGCTTTGAGCTGAGCTCTTCTGAATAGGGAGTCACTGTGTCCAAGTATAACATCCAGAGCCTGAAAGCAACTAAACTTTACTGGCTCAAAACAAAATTACCACTTCACAATTATCGGTACAATGAGGCAAGTTATACGTGGACCAAATTACCAAGAAGAAAAAAAAAGCAGAGATCCATTTGATGACAGATTAAGAGGTTATCTGGCGAGACACAACATGGTGTTTGCTTCGAAACAAAACGACATTGTTCACAAGTGATGACACATTTCTAGAATTTTTCTGAAAATATTCAGATTTCCTGATTCATTATTGAGGTCAGATCATTCAAATTAGCACAAAAAATATTCCCATCCTCTACTAAAAAATTGCCTTCAACTTAATAATTGTCAGTTTGCCTCCTGAGCACACCCTTGGAGATCAGCAAGTCCGGTTATTGTCGAGTCAACATCAACTCCCACAAATGGAAATTTCCAGAGCTTCAGTGTGTTTATGGTAAGTTTGCATTCAAACGGCTTACAGGTTCACATACACGAACTCTTTAGTCGGAGTGTCTACAGCATACATAATCAACAATGATGATCTCCCTTATATATCTCCATCCAGACACGTGAATAACATCGAAGATTCTCGGAAGGAGGTAGAGCTCACCTTTCCAATTGGGTACGCAATGGGATAGCAAATGACCATCAAAATTCGAACCAACCACACGAAATTGGCACCCACATAGAGTCCATACCTTGAACACACTGCTTGAGGAATAATCTGATTCAACTCAAATCAACACTTTAAACTGATTCATTCGTCCCATGAAAAAAGTTACTAAATGTAAACATAATAAAGGAAGTAGGACTGCTAACTTGAACGTGCAATTCTCACCTCCCCAAACGCGAGGACAAAGGTTACAGAGAGCACAACAGCAATCAAAGGAGTGAAAATCTTGTCAAGGCATATTGGGAGCGCCTCCATTGCACAAGCATTGCATAGCAGCAGAGTCACTAGAAGCTGGTGTTGCTTCTGTACCACGGGCAGAATTGCAGCTGCAAACACCCAACATAGGAAAGAAACATAAAGCCAAAACTCAGCTGATTTAAGTCAATTCGCCATTGACCGGACCAAATTGCAGAAAAAAGAAATAGGAAATTTTTTGGAGGAAAGGGAAAACAGACCAGCTTGCTTCTTCTCCGTCAGCGTACCGCTCCTCTGCAGAATCTCGAGGTCGACGAGGCCGAGGGACATCAGGCCCAAGGTAAGGCCGGACATAATGCCGGCGAAGAGCACGAGAATGCAAGAGATGCCCGCGTAGACGAACCACCAGACGGTGGCGAATTCCATGTCCTCGGCTTCGACGATGATGTGGTTTGCTCGGATCATTGTTCCGACTAGGGTTACGGCGTTCACCGCCAACATAGTTGATCCGGCGAAATGAGGACTTTCCGGACGCGGGCGGCGGATCCTTCTTTGCTGTCGCTCTCTCAGCTTTGGTAGGTGGACGAAGAGAAGACTGTCTGTTCTCGAGGACTCACACTAGACGGTTACTGCATGAAGTCTAGCTCGAGGCAAAATTCGGCTGCTTCGACGTTGACCTGGAGCTGAATAAGCTCGTCATCTGGACTGGTGTTATCGTTGTGGGAGGATGGAGGGCGCTTTTGCACGGGGAAACTCAAAGCATCACTCACTGGCCGCACCAATGGTCAGTTTGAGAGTGCAGGGAAATGGCGTCCGTAGGTGATAATCTCTCTCCCGAACGGTGCCCGAGGCTTTGTCTACACTACGTTGTCCGACGTGGCGTGTGGTAGGCCGTTGGTTTAAGGCGGCCATTTCGGTCAGCAAAAGACGGTAGGGTTAAATCTAGGGATGGCAATGGGGTATGATCGGGTGCGGGTTTACCCTATACCTACTTCTAAGTTCTAACCCACCGGGTAGAGCTTTCTAAAATACCCGACCAAATAACCACCGGGTATGAAAATTATATAACCATACCCTACCCATCGGGTAACCACGGGTATTCGGGTAACCATGGGTACGAATTCTAAACTATGAACTTATACACATATATGCACATACATACTGTTGTCCATTAAAAATTCTCAATACTTCTTTATAAAAAAAAAAATCTCAATACTTGTAACTGTTCGAGCTTCAACAATCCACACAAATAAAAATAGCAAACACATAATAATTGTTCTTGCTTCTACAATTCACACAAAGATAATAATCGTCTACATCTTCATCATCAATAATGGTAGCTAAACTTAATTTCTCAAGCTAATCTAAATTTCTCAAGGGAAATTGATCATTTGGTTAACGGGGCGGGTATAACAGAGCGGGTATTATCGATTACCATACCCGTACCCTACCCTTTATTTTGAAACCAGGTATTACCCGTACCCGCCCCTTAACCCGTCAAAGCGGGTAATTACCCTCGTTGGCCGGTTACGATCGGGTAGGGTACCCATGGTTACGGGTTGGATTGACATCCCTAGTTAAATCCAACGTGATCCAAGTGGGAAGATATGTGGAAAAAATCATAATGTGCATATATATATATATATATATGTATATATGGTGCCGTATTCGGTGCACCCACTTTTTCGGGTGCACTCAGTGCACCCGCCTCATAATTGTCATTCTGACCATGCGATTCATGTCAAAACGGTATCAATTATTGCTTATGATATTATGAACAAGAAGCACATGAATTTGAAAAAAAATCATTCAAAATTTACTTTAATTCGAAAGATTTAGGATTTAGGGATTTAGGGTTAGCGTTTAGGTTTACAATTTGGGATTTTGGGTTAAAATTCAAAATTGAAGGTTAAGAGGTTAGGGTAATGGATTGATTTGTTATGATTCTATGTTATATCATCATATTATATTGAGAGTACTAATTAAAGTTCAAAATTTGATGTATTATGGACGCTTTTAGAGTTGGGTGTACTGAGTGCACCCAAAAAAGTGAGTGCACCGAAGTAGCCACCATATATATATATATATATATATATATATGGCAAAGGCTAGCGTACGCCCGGGCGTACGCTAACCTTAGCGTACGCCCCTGTTCACACTTGAAAATTAATTATTAAATATTTTTATTTATATTATAAGTAAATTAATTATTAATGATAATTTAAATTACAACCACATACATGGAATAATTATTGTGTACGTTTTAGTCCTTCATCAATCTTTATCATTCATTATGGTAAAATCAATCATCTAACTTTTGATTTTATGAATTTTAATACCTTCTTTTTCCAAATCAAAATTTTTAATACTCAAATTTTGTGTTTAGAATGGCGTTTCCAGCAACAGTGGCGTTTAGAATGGCGTTTCCCCGAGAAGAATTCTTCAACCACCCCCCGCCGCCAGGGACGCGGGCCACCGGCCGGCTCTTCCTTCTCCTCCTGCCCAATTCTTCCATCTTCTTACCACATATCTCATTTCTCTGCCCTTGTCGTTTTAATCAGTTTCATCGATACCAAGGGTCGTGATTTCTGCAAGTGAAGAGGTGAAATCCAGGGGATATAATTGGGCTTGTATTCCGGAGCTTGGGGGGATTAGAAAGGGGCGACTGGGATTGAGTTTCTGATGGGTTTTCTGGTGGATTCGCAAAACCATGGCGGACCCGGGTTCTGGGGAGGTTGCGTGAGGACTCTGATAAGGAGGAAGCAGGTTGATTCCGCTGACGGCAATGTTCACGGCCACGGTGGTCACCACCAGTTGGCCAAGGAGCTCTCCGTTCTTCATCTCATTGCCATTGGTATGCCTGAATTCCGGGATTTTAGCTCCATTGGTGGATGAGAACAAAACGTAGACGAGGATGTCGAATAGGTCCGGGAGGGAAGTGACTAGGGCTAGGGTGATTTAGGAGTGCGAGGCTGATAAGCAGAATCAGGTAATGTATGGATGATTGAATTGAAGGAATGAATGCACTGTTGTTTTCTGTTTAGGCGGATATCAGAAATTTGGGGTTTACGGTAATTCAATTTTCACGAGGGGATTCATCTACGAGATGAGAGAATTTTTGCTTTAGATTTAGATGCGATGAAGAGCCTACAACTCTGATGTTTGAAATGATGATCTTAGTACACTATGGGTGGGTGTGAGGAGAGAATTCGTGTAGATAGTGATATGGGTAATAGGTATCACAGAGCTGAGGATTCTGCCTTGTGATGAAGAGCAGGAGCCGGTGACTAGTGATATGTGCAGGTTAGTGGATTTAGTAGCCGATTAATTGGTGCACAGAATACAATCTAGTTCATAATGTGTGTTTCCTCGTTGAACACCCCTGAACTTGTTAATTCAGTCGATGACAATGAGGTGGAGATTGTCCAAACTTGTGCCTTTTGGATGAAAACTCTGCTTGCCTGTTTATTTTTCACAGCTGGAGTATGAAACTTGCAAGAAGTGGAAGAGCTCAAGAATGACGCACCCGAGAACCTTCTCTCAATATTGAAGGAATGTGATATTCAAAGGCTTTCAGGGGTGTCAACATCTTTGATGAACTACTCAGTTCTTCTGTATAGATATTTATTAATTCATGGATGTTTATTGAATCTAGTTCCGCCGGATATGATATCAAGACTTTAAAAACCCAATAAATAAAATAATCCAAAATCCTCTTATGTTACTAAATCTAATTGTGATTATTTATATATACGTTGCATTGTTTATACCCCCATTCGTACAAGAACAGTAGGTTGCAGATCGGCTCCTAAAGGTCTCAAATTGAGAACAAATATGGTAACAAATTGTTTGTAGAGGGAGGGAGGACAAGGAAGAGAATGACAGAATCTGTTTCTGGGTTTCGTCTTTTCTTTTTCATGGCAAATAAAAAATAAGTTAAAAAGAAAATTTTCACAAATAAAAACTGATCGACGTAGGAAAATAAAAAACATAAAGTAACCAAAAAATTCTGCAGCGATGCTTGATTAAAGTAGCATATTGTCGGACAGTTGGTCAAAATCATATAGACTAGTAGCCATGATTAAGGAGTTTGAAGTTTCAAGCTCTAGATGGAAAACTGGATGTCTCTACGTTGAGGTTTACTGATTGCTACACCTCCTTTACCCTGCTGTCACCGACACTCCGGCCACTATTGACCGGGATAGATCAGGCTTCAAAACCCCTAATATTAGCAGCTCTTTATTACCCCTAACCTGAAAGGTGTTCCTGTTAGTGCTAATAGGAGGCACGAGAAGATCAAATTCTCAACAAAAATTGAGAGTTGTTTAGGGTTAGACCTTTACATTCTCTGTTGAACAAATAGGAACCAATCTTCATTTCGGCCAATTGACGGTTTAAGCTAACTTCATGTTTCTCATTTTGTTATTAAGTATCAGACTCAAATCCTAACTGGGAATAAGAACCAAACTTTTGGCTGATAATTTCTTCCATTCTCGTTTAATAAGGTTCCCGTAGCGACTATGGATTCAAATTTGCGGGAACTGAGACTTCCTCAATGTCGGATTAAGAGAGCAGTTACTTTTAGTCTTACCTCAGCATGTACTGCAGGAATTATTAGAGGGTTAGATTAGCTTTCAATTCCCCCGTGACTTGTTGCTACTTGCTACGAGTTTCGGGTTGGGTTTGGGTTTAAATCTGGTACACTATTCAATGGGTTGGGTTGGGGTTGGATTTAGGGATACCCGCCCACACTTATTTTGTCTCCCTCCTCTCCCAAACCCTACCCTAATTCTAATTTCCCCCAATCTAATTATCCCCAAACCGAACCCTAAATTTATTTATTACCAAGGTAATGTTTTCTTTTTACCAAATTCATAATTGAAGTTGAACACACCAAGTTTGTTGGTTTGCTCCTCTCGCACAAACAAAAAGGGAAGGAACAAAAAACAAAGAATTGTGTGCTTTTATTTAGTGTAATAGTGATTTGTTTGAATTTTCTAGACTAGTGTTTTATGCATAGATAATTTGTATGGGAAAAGTGATGCTTGAAGAAGCCAACTTTATTTCATCAATACCGATGAACATACAATTGTCTAGTACTTTATACAATCAACCTGTACAATTAGGGTTGGAAATCGGTACGGTATCGATATCCCAATATCAAATACCGAAATATCGAATATCGAATTACACCCTAAAATCAATTCCAATCTCAATCTCTAAATATTTCGGTATCCCAATCGATACTTCGGTATCACAATCGGTATTATCAAATACGAAATTAATTATCTTTGCAATTAATAATTAAATATATAAATGAGATTTGATTGTTTGATATAGGACAAAAAGACTAAGCAAAGAGTCTTGAGTTTGGCTAGAGCTAGGATATGGATAAGGACAATGGAGGAGATGTGACATATCAAGTTTTTGTCATTAGTAATCTTTAATTTGGTGAATTTGAGGCTAAGAGAGACTAATCCTAGTGTTTGATTTTTGGTGTTATAAAAATAACAAGAGATCGGTGGTTGAGGGTCAAGTAGTAGTGATTAGTGAATGAGAAAGACTAGTTGAAAGGATAAAATACACACTAGATTATGTTTCGGTATTGTTCGGTATTTCAGTATATACCGATTCCAATCTCGTAATCCCTAATACCGAATAACAATTGAAATTGAATCCCAATTCCAATCCCAAAAAACAAAATGTGTATTCGATAATACCAAATATAGACAAATTCAGTAGGGTATTCGGTATATCCTAAATACCGATACCAAGCTTCCTATCTACAATATAAATACTGTAGATTTGTTACCGCATTAGTGGTATAATTTGGGGCTACATTTAATTATATTTGTTAACCAATTGAACAATTAAGAATTGAAAGTGGTAGCACCAGTTTGTACTGGTTGGTTGTTCTCAATAAAATAGTCCCTTCCCGCCAATGAAAAAAAATCAAAATCTCTTCCCTCCATAATATTTCATGAAATTTTAAATTGTACTCTGAAAACTTTTACCGGCCCCAACATCGTTCAAGTTCCCCATTCTTTCATCTTCCTTAATTTGAATTTCACTTTGACAATTTCCTTCACGGGAGAGCCGCCGCAGTGCCTGGCTTTGTCGCCGTTTGATGAGAAGAGGTATTGTCCACCGAGTCGACCGGCGCAGAGGCTTCCTGGGCAATGGCAGGGAGTTTTGTCGACTGGCCACCACCTCCTCCATCAGTTTACTCGCCACCACCTCCATCGCAAAGTTACTCCCCTCCACCACCACCCCCATCTCCACCGGCGCTAGTTTATTCTCAACCTCCTCGTCGAAGCCACCACCGGTTGACTAGTTTTCTATTTTATTTTATTTTTCATCTTCCTTAATTCCTATCTCTTCCCACAAATGAGATCGACTCTTCCTTTGCAGATTTAATTTTGGCGAGTCTTCGGCCGATTCATAAATTGAATTTGCTGTGGTCTGCTTTCCCCTGCTTTCGGCGAGTCTTCTCGAGCGGAGATTCATTTCCCTGGTTTGCATGATTCGTGAAGGTAATTAATTCATTTCCATGTCTTCTCGATCTACACGGCACATTGCTACCTAACGCGAGCTATTTGTAGTTCCCAAATGAACAACCTTAGGTCGCTCTTTCCCAGATAATCTTTCTATGTGAATACGTTAAAGTACATCATCTAATTCGTCTTGCAGCAAATTGCATCAGGAGCAGCTACTAGATGTCTTTTGGTCTTGGTCCTTCGATCGCAACGAGAACGGCTACATCAGCCCCGTCGAACTGTTTCCTTTTTACTAAATACCGGTACCAAACTTTCAACCTATCTGCAATATAGATACTGTAGATTTGTTACCGCATTAGTGGTATAATTTGGGGCTACATTTAATTATATTTGTTAACCAATCAAACAATTAAAAATTGACAGTGGTAGGCGGTAGCACCAGTTTGTACTGGTTGTTCTCAATAAAATAGTCCCTTCCCGCCAATGGAAAAAAATAAAAATCTCTTCCCTCCATAATATTTCACGAAATTTTAAATTGTACCCTGAAAACTTTTACCCCCAACATATACTAGAAGAGACGCAATAATAATTTCCCTCTCTCTCTCTCTTCTTCTTCTTCTTCCTCGTCCGCTTCTCTTCACCGAAAGAAAGACATTCGATTGACATAATGACGGGGCTTGTGAAGGTGTCCAAGGGGGCGGTTGCGGTGGCGGCGTGGGAGGTAGCGGTTGTAAGGGTTCGGCGAGGGGCGGTAATAAGGCCAACAGCGAAGAAGAGCATACCAGCAGCTATCGACGGTAGCGGTTCTTTTATTCGCTTTGAGAAAATCCCTGGCTTCCTCGTGTCGGATTGAAGATGGGGAAGATCTGATGTCGTTGTCTTCCTCCGCCGCCGTTCGTCACATGGACATCGGATGGCCGACGAACGTCCAGCACATTACCCACGTTACCTTCGATCGATTCAACGGGTTTTTGGGTCTTCCCATGGAGTTCGAAGTGGAGATTCCTTCCAAAGTTCACAGCGCCAGGTACTGAAGTTTTAATTCAACTTCACTTGTTTCTCCTATTTTTTCTACTTAACGAGATAAGATATTGGGGTTTCCGGCGAAGCTGTGACGCCCTTTCTCCTCCTCGATTAGGCCGCAGTGGTAAGAGGTCAAACCCAATCAAGTTTGTCGTATTATTTCCTGGTGCTTGTGTTATTGCATAGGTCCATCTCCGATAGGGTAATAGGAGGCACCAGAAGATCAAATTCTCAACAAACATTGAGAGTTCTTAAGGGTTAGACCTGTACATTCCTTGTTGAACAAATAGGAACCAATCTTCATTTCGTCCAATTGACGGTTTAAGCTAGCTTCATGTTTCTCATTTTGTTATTAAGTATCAAACTCAAATCCTAATTGGGAATAAGAACCAAACTTTTGGCTGATAATTTCTTCCATTCTCGTTTAATAAGGTTCCCGTAGCGACTATGGATTCAAATTTGCGGGGACTGAGACTTCCTCAATGTCAGACATGTATGTAAGCTATTTTATGTAATATTTTCTCTGCTGAACATGCTATTGTGATGACTCTTGCAGACGCTGTGAAACCATTGCACCAACCGTATGCAAAGCCGAAACAAGATTATGGCTTGCCTTGTCCTTCAATGTTTGTGGTCAACTACTATGTTTAATTTTAATTTCACTGGATATCTAACTTAGGTTAGTTTCTCATTGCTGCCTTTCATTTGCTTTCACCAAAAGTTTACTTCATTAACTGACTACGCAAATAAATCCAAAATCATGATGCATACACAGGGCAAAAATTGCAGGCAAGGACCAAACAGAACCGAGATGCCATAGATGTCCAAACTCAAGCACGTAAGGAATTCATAGCATCTCAAACATTTGGGAAATTTTCTTAGGTGCCATTACCAGATAGTACCAGCTCATTTCCTGTTCAGAAGCATTCGTCAGAAGCAAAAGTCCCTTTCGCCGGTAAGTTCCAAGTAGAAATGCACAATCATTAGTTGAAGGACTTTTCACTAGCATTATGCTTCAGTCAATTAGACATCAACGAGACCAAAATAATGACACAAAGTTGTTCATTTGACCAAACGATAGGAAAAACAGAAAAGCTCGAGTCTCTTCAATGCAAATATCAAAAGTTGCTGTTTGGCATAAACTTCCTTGCCAACAGGTATGTTAATGCCTTTTTCAACTTCAATTCTTGTAGCTACTGCTGCCTCTTTCTCTTGTGGCGACACTTTTAGCTGGTGGCCTCTGTGATGTAAAGCGTAGTGGTTTTACATTAAAAAATGTAGGATAAATTTAATTTGTTTCGTATGTAATGTTGTTCAAAACTAATACCTTACGAAGTCGGTAGTTAGAACCATTAACAGCCCCGTTGTTGTCTTCACCATTAGTGTTATGGGACTGACCTTCAGTTTGCTTGGTACCACTCCTAGTCTTTTGCCTCTTCAACTAAATCAAAGACACTAGTTTCAAACCATAAACTATATAAAAAAAAATCTGTAAGATTCGTAAATTCACAAAAATGATATAGTAAATTAACCTGACGTGGTGGGCTGATTGGACCATTGTTTGTTGAATCATCTGGTTCATCGTTTCCATCATCAGTTTCCTCATCTGACGCCGGTGGAATAGGCTGTACATATCCTGGAGGCTTTTTACAAGTGCTTCTGTAATGTTGTTCTTCTCCGCATCGACTACACTTCCGATGCTTTTTGCCAGACTTCTTCTTCTTTCCAGTTTTACCACCTTTGTATGCTACCTTCATTGGATTTAACACATCTTTGTATTCTGCTGGTACATCTATTGTCGCCCTCTCAGTATTATCAGTTTGCATGTTGTCCAACTCGTCACAGGCACTAGCCATTACCTTCTGTGCAAACTGATAAGTATCGACTGAATTTGCCCCTAGGTAGCAAAACCGCGATGTATAAAACTGCAGCATCCCATACCTAACGTTAAATGACCGAGGGTCATTGATATTCACTGGTTGTTGCATAACTTCTACAGTCTTGGGATTCTTTCTCCATCTTTTTAATACCAATTCTTCTGGAATCATTGGTATGTTCTCTTCTTTCAATAAAAAGATCATATGTGAACACGGAATTCCCATGTATGCAAATTTAGCACAACTACACTCAATTTCCTTGGTTTCAACATCATACTTGACAGTATAACTCTTGTGTTTCCCAAACAAGGTCACCTGGTAATTGTGCATGCTTCCATCTACCACAAAATTGCTCTTGATACAACCCTCCACCTTGACAAGCTCCTTCTGATACTTGCGAAATATCTTATTAGTGAAAAGCTTTGCAGCGCTTTCTTCAAGTGTGCTTAACATAGGATGTTTCATCTCCGGTACACCATGGTTGGATTGAAAATCCAATTTCACCTCATTTTCCCGCAACTCTCCAATCCATCGATCAAAATGGATAAAAAACTCAAGCAAATTGTGATTCTCAGTTACATACCTTCCAAGATGTGAGTTGATTCCTTCACACCTAGAGGTTGTTGACAACCCTGCAAAGAAGTAAGATCGGAGGTATGTGTATGCCCATTCCCCTCGTCTGTCAAATAAATCCGAAACCCATTCAGAATTTTCAAGTTGGTGACTTGACACCAATTCTGCCCATTTTTCTTCGAATTCAGCCGCTTCAAGATCAGCATATACAAATGTCTTCCATTGAGGCTCAAATGCTTTATTATTCTTGAGACGACTCACAATGTTCTTAGCGATATGCCATGAACACAATCGATGAATTGCAGTAGGAAATACTTTCTGAATGGCATTCCGCATCGCTTTGTCACCGTCTGTTACAATCGTACAAGGTTCTTTGTCTCCCATTGCTTTCTTCAACTTCCCCAGAACCCAATCATAACTCTTTTCTGTCTCGTTAGCCAATAAAGCGCATCCAAATATACAGCTCTTACGATGATGATTGATACCTAAAAAGTGATATAGAAGTTATGTATAGCTAAATAAAATATGGAGTGACGGATCAAGTTTGATAAGAGAAAAGTTGTGCACCTGAGAAAACAACTAGCGGCATGTTATAAATGTTTTTCTTGTATGTAGTATCAAAAGCTAGCAAATCTCCAAAGCATGCCATATCTGCTATGCTTATGCTGTCCGCCCAGAACACGCTACAAAGTCTCTTATCTTCATCAAAAGTGGGTTCGAGGATGAAGTGGTTGTCTATGCTGATTTTTGATTTTAGATACGCTAGTGCAGTAGCAGCATCTCCTTCACTGATCCTTTTTTTCGATCTTTAGAGGCAAAATTATGCAAATCCTTTTTCGTATGTCCTACTTTATCATAGCCTCCAGCTTTCTGAACATGGTGATTCATGATATCAGCCGTTCTCATACCTACATCTCGTTGGTAACGTACTTCAGACTTTGTTGCTTCATCTAAGCGTCGATGGGATCTCATATGATGCACCAATTTTTTCCCAACCGGATCATGGGTATGATAGACATTGAAAGCATCGACAACGAACTTAGAATCTGACCTGTCCAGATGAACATGCATCATAGCTTTACATTCAAACCTTGTAATGCATCTCGCAAATCTCTGTAATTCCTTTCCTCTTTTACGTTTTGTTCCTGCACTAGAGCAGACAAATTTTTGAGAAGTGATTTGCCCTTCTTTGGTTTTATATTTCTTTTCTCGTCTCGCCGAAAACCCCCAAGCTCTGGCGTACTTGTTGTAGAAAGCATAAGCTTCCTCAATGTTGTTGAACTTCCTACCAATGACTTGATCGTCGGTAAGGCTTGCCAGATTTTCATTCTCCTCGTCATTTCCAGTCAGAGGGTTCTTCTCTCTCTACAGTAAAATCATACATGTCTTCACAGTGGCTATCCTGCCTGGCAGTAGCATGATTTTCCTCTCCTGCCATGTGTTAGACCCTTAACGTATGACTTTCCTGCAAATCATAGACACAGATCAGTTGGAGATTGTTGCTCATAAATCTAACGTAACACTATCTACATTTGTGTTTGACAACACCTGTTAGCTTTTTTGTTGAACTTCTTTTCCACCAAAATTATACAAGCAGGTTTCAAACCCTTCGTACAGCTTTGAAACTGCTTCTTTCCACGGTTCTCTTTGTTTCCTAGGCTTGTAATCCCAATCTGTTTTTTGGTCAGATTGCGTCAACGGGAGCAGTTCCAATTGTGCTGATATGGAAACGGTAAATAATTTCAAACCTTTTGTTGTGGTCTGTTTTGTGACGTTTTATTTTTTTGAACGAAAACTGTTTTGTTCCTTATTTCTAGCGTTGGGCTGTTTTGAGATTGTTAAACATGTTTCCACTTTTTGTTTTTTTGCTCACATGAATTACGGATGGGGTCCCTTTTCACTTCTCTCTTCCCATCCCCTCTCAATGAGTTCATAGAAGATGGAAACAACTCATTTCCTTCCATTGGTATCGGATATGAAGAAATAACTTCAGTAGAGGACGCGTGCTTCGCTGTTGAAGCTGTAGGGAAATCTGAACCAGAGATTTGGAAATTTGTGCTATGTTATTTGTGTTGTGCAGGCCTTCATGATTCACGAGAACCAGGACCTCAGAATCAAGGTGAATTAGCTAAATCTGTATTTTCTGTGGATCTTTAGTTCTATGGGTTGGTTTAATGAGTACATTAACATTCAACTCGAGAAGCTGTTCAACTCGAGAAGCTCATGAAGTTTATTACTTTTCCACTTCCACTTTTGCTCATCTCTACTTCTTCTTGCCATCAACAGATGTTTGGATTGTCGCTGCAAGTTCCTCTGCTGTAGCATTTTTCATCGTCAAAGCAACAGGTATGGCAACATGGTGGGAGTGGAGTAGTCTTAAGCTTGACTGGATATTTAGTCACTTTAGAGTTTAGAACTAGCTACCCTAAGCTAGCTTCTGTTAATCCTTGCTTTGTCTCTCACTTTTTGGATTCCATTTTTGGAACATTAATCAAGATATTGTATACACTACTTTATATCTTAGATTCTATGGGTTGTGGGTGTGATTCAAATGGAAGGTTCAGTGAAGCTTTGGAAAGTTTACTTGATACGTTGGAAGAGGATTTTGTGGCTGCTATTGTGACAATAGTCATTTCTCTTTCTTCTGTGTCAGGCTGTGTTTGAGTAAAGGTGAAGCTACCTGGTGTTTCTTAACTGGTGAGCTTAGTGTGGGCAGAGAAGTAGTATGTTGTATGTTGACTTGATGATTTTCATTTACTTCCTGTTATTGATTGGTACTATTAACTTACCCTGATTTGTTAAAATTGAGCATGGAAATCTGACATGTTTCTAACGTTATTTATTTATTCCTGCTGTTGAGCGTCAAGTTTCTGCTGCTTTAATGTATTGTTGCTTCTGCTGCCATGTCCTTTTCCTATGAACGGAATTTAACTATTTGGCAAACTAATGTCATTTTTAGTTCATAAACAAAAGCACACGGTCTTATCTGTGACAATGGCTATTGGATCCCACAAGCTTTCTCAGCAAGGAGCTATTACCAAGCGTATGACTGCCATTGAGGAGATGGCTGGCATGGATGTTCTGTGCAGTGACAAAACTGGAACCTTGACCCTCAACAAGCTCAGCATCGACAAGAACTTGATTGAAGTGTTTATTAAAGGTGTGGACAAGGAATATGTCATACTGACTGCTGCCAGGGCTTCTAGGGTTGAGAATCAGGATGCTATTGATGCTTGCATGTTAAACATGCTTGCTGACCCTAAGGAGGTAAAATAATTTCCCATCACTACTGTGAAAGAGATGCCGCACTGAATGAATGTTTGACTTATACATGTAATTACTATATTATTCTGCAGGCAAGAGCTGGTATTCGAGAAGTCCATTTCCTTCCATTTAATCCCGTGGACAAAAGAACTGCTCTCACTTACATCAACGAGTCTGATGGAAAATGGTACCGTGCAAGTAAAGGAGCTCCTGAGCAGGTAACATGGTGCTTCCTTTTTTCTTCTTGTCCTTCCGCTTTTGACTCTTGACGTTAACTAAATCCTTCATGAATGTTATTAGATCCTGGAGCTGTGCCACTCAAGTCAAGATCTGAGGAGGAAAGTCCACTCTGTTATTGAGAAATTGGCTGAACGTGGGCTTCGGTCGCTGGGTGTTGCGAGGCAGGATAAGGACTCAAACATTGCTGCTATTCCTGTTGAAGAGCTGATCGAGAAGGCTGATGGATTTGCTGGGGTTTTCCAGTGCAAAGTAATTGTTGCTGACCATTTCTCCTTTAACAAAATGATGTGCATGCTCATTTTCTTGTACCAATTGAGACAAACTATTAAGTCTTCTCTTGACCATAAGTTCAGTGTGAGATTTGCTCCTCATTGAAAGTCACCGATACACGACTGATACGCATACCAATCAAGAATTACCTTAACAGTAACCTCTTCGATACTCATTAGAAGATGACTGGTGCGACCCTAAACGCCCACCAACGAAAATAATATATATTGAAAGGAAACAAAATAGGAACAGTAACATAGAAGAACTTCGAAGGAAAGAAGCTCTGCAGTTTCCACCATTCTTTTCCTCAAATTGAGCCATTGTTTGCTGCGAGGGGGAAGGGAAAGAGAACGCTTCCAACACAAAGTTCAAAGACACAAATATACCAAACTACCAAAATCACCAAACATATGAAATCAACCTGTGAGACCACTAAACATCATCCAAGAGATCCAACATACTTTAATTCGATGAAATGCACCATGTTCCGTTCCATCACCTCAAAATTATTGATTAGTTCCAAAAACCAAACACCAAAAAACTTATAAAACAATAAGCTAGCTACGTTCCTCTGTATAAAGAGGTATGTTTTATTGAAACTCCTAACAAAGACATTACAGCTGGACTATCGTGCCACGCCTAAGTGTCCAGCGTGTCCCCCTCAATTCTCTCCACATGCCCACCTCTTCAACCACTTTGACTTTGCCCAACTAATTTCCGGCAAATTTGATCTCCAACCTCATTGTCTTTGTTATTCAGCATAAAAAGGGCTAGTTCAATCCTCTCCTCCTCGCTGTCAAACTGAAAGTGAAAACAAACATTGCATTAGATTATTATTAACGACACCGAAATACAACATGAGGACAAGAGCGTACCCTTTTTCTCATTCCCCGCGAACAATCATCTAAACTGCCACCGCTTCTCATCAATTTAAGCACAAACAGTCCACAATCAAACCTGAGCACAAAAAATTTGGATTTAAAAATAGTACACAGCTTATTAGACAACAAATAAGTCAAAGAGAGAACACTCATAAGGATACCCATTCTGTTGCCTGGGAGCATTAACCACAATCTCAACAGTGAAAGAGACGAGCATGTCACATGCATATCTTCTAATGATCTCCACATAAAATAGCGAGTCCAGTTCATTGGCCTATATGGTGTGCACCAAACGAGTAATTCAGCATATATACAAATGAGAAAAAATTAAGATAACATGCTATGAACGATGCCACTTACGATTTGTTTCACTTTTTCTTCCATCATAATGGAATCCAGGAAGTTCGGAAATGAATCCCATATTTGAATGACCTTTTGATTAAGGTCAAACACACTTAGGAAAAAGTGTTTGTCCACCAGCATAGGGGCAAAAATCTAAAAAAGGTACATATATTAGTTGAAAACTCAGAACACGAACACTATAATGAAGAAAAAACCTATCTACACCTACCTTCTCACAGTCACTGAATTCTTCTGCACTGTACATTGTTTTCAGGGTCTCCTCTGAGTAAGCAAACACACGACCTCCAGCCTTCCTTACCTAAAAGATGAACCCCGCACAAAACATTTTACATAGATGGTGAAATTTGCGAGAAATGGAAGGGAAAATATAAATCCACTTACACCAAATGCTGGCGGTAAGAACCAATGCACACGTCTCTTCTCACAAAAGTCCTCTAAGGTTAACAAGTCTGTGCACATAGTCATTATCTATACAAATATACAACACAAAATCAATATACAGTAAACAACCTCTACCCTTTAAAACCCTTTTATGCTGATTTTAATCTTTAAAATAAATGTAACACTAACCTGGGTAGACAACCATGTTTCAGGTAATAGCAACTTAAACTCTGCACGGTTTAAATGAAACCATGGAGATTTGACCAACACCTCACTACAACAGTAAATAAGATATTCATTGAGGGATACCAAGAATTTGCCATAAAAGTATTCTCAGTAATTTCATTTGATTTGACAAAGTGTGAACAAAGATTAGAAGTATCGGTCAAGAGAAGAGAATTATGACAAATCAGAAAGATATTATTGCTCAAAACTTTTTTAAAATACAAAAGATAATATAAATCAGTTTACACGACAGAAGAAATGAAAACCCAACTGGAAACAAATTAATTTTACCTTGCGTCCTTTGACTGATCGAATGCATGCCTGATTAGAAGCTTATCCCTTTTTGATACATGTTGTATACTGATGAAGGGTCCGATCACCTGTTTTGCTGAACCTCTCCTCTCGGTATCTTGTCGGGTCAGAATAGGACTTCGTACCCTAACCGGAGACTTCAAAACAACCTTTCCCTAGCAAAAATCCAGTACATTCAGAAAATCATAACACAGTCAAAACAGAAAGATAAAACGAAATAAAGGAAAACACAACACCTTTCTCTTGGTGGCAGTGCTTGTCATCTTTGGCTTACTCCTTGCTGACAGCGAGAAGGAGCTGTCGCTGCTAATGTTGACTACTTCAACAACATCATCTTTCCTCTCCTTCTTGACATTCTCGACGTTATCACCCAATCTCGATAACAATAAGTCTCTCAACGAATTCATCCCTACCCTCAACGAATTCATACTCTCCTCGAACTCCCTTTTCATGGTAAGCTGAGTGTTTGCCAAGTCAGCCATGAGAGAATGTAGGCTCGCCAGCAGGAAATACGAATGGAATTGTAGCAACAATAAGACCTCACAAATTTTCTTACGAATGGGGGAACTTTATTGATGTGTAAAAAAAGTCCAAAGAAGGCCTTTGGTTGCCAAGAGCTCAACCAAACAACCATAACACAAAAGAAGCACACATAGGTGGAGCAGCCCAGCACTGCTGTTACAATCTAAAAAGATAAACAAAAACAACATAAACCCCAACACAACAACCACGAAGCCAAGGAAAACACATCATAGCCAACCACAATGGCTTACAAAAGTAATAACCGCAGATATTTTACCTCATTTGATTTCAGGTGATCAGGTGCTGCCGTTTCCTTGTCTAAGCTGAAAAAACATAACCAACATAAATAAACGTAAGCAAGGGCCATTACAAAGCAATGAACAAAGCCAAGCAAAATAGCACACACGCACCCTGCCATGACACTAGTGGATTTTTGGCTCTGCAGTTGAAAATAATAAACACAGTAGTCACAGCGCTGAGATGCTTAAATAGACAACTGTCAGTATTGATGAAGAAGGGATCTGATTTTATATTTTCTGTTATGATTGTATTGTTTTTTAGTGTTTCAAATGATTAAAATAACCCATCCCAACAACTAAATACAACAGAAAGAGACGGGGAATGGGATGATATCAGATCCCGTCTTATCGAATAAAAAATCTTAAGAAGTTCAAGATATCACAAGAAGTAAATTTTGAAATACAATATTTATCCCATTTTCAACAATTTCGTATAAAAAAACTCAGCAGACTTATTTGATAAAAACAAACAATACAAAATCACATTTATAAGTCTCGGTTGAACTGAAACAATAGAGTTCCAGTGATAAAAGCGCACCTTTTGTTTTTCAGCTGCAAATATGATCAATTATGGGATCGTCAAGCCACAACGGCTTCCCTGTAGCTGTTAACACAATGACCAAGCTGATAAATTACGGATCCCCTCTCGATGGACTCCTTGTACCGATGCTCTATTGGGTCACCTTGCTGCAATAGTTTGATCCCACTTAGAACAACTGTGAAAGAAATCACCACTTTCATCTTTCCTCCGGATGAGAACAAGCAATAAACTACCTTATTAAGCTCCTCAAGCTTGGCAATATAAACACCCTTGGTCTCATCTTCTCGGCTTTCATACATCCAGTCCTCAACCTGCTGCAGCTTTGTCAAGAGTTCTTCCCTCTCCGGCTCAGTGAAAACTCTTGATACTATCAAGGAGCTGGACCATGAAACCTCAGTTAGCACATACATATCGTGAATGAAACATCCAAAACAAATAACACATGCCCACGACCTGGCTTCCGCTCCTTCTGAAAATACCCAAGTGTCGCGTCTCCTCCCTTTCCAGCGACAATCATATCTCCTGTTCCATTCATCTTAGCATCACCGACGACCTAGCTTTGGCTCCTTTGGACAATACCCCCTAACTTTCGCTTCCCCTGTCCTTCCAGCGCCAATCCCAGTCTCCCGCCGCAGCCTCATCCTCTCCCGCTGCTCTGGTCAGATCCCGTCTCCCACCCTAACTCCGCCCGCTCCAGGCAACCAAGTTCTCCGACCTAATCCCTGACCTAATTTCCTGAATCGCTTCCCTCATCCTCCTCAAAAGCCCTTTCAATAACTTCTTCGGTCAAATACCCTATCGCTTGATTGGCGCCGACTCTTTTATAGGTACCTCTCCACGAAATCGCCATCGCTTGCCCAGTTGATTGCACTCGCTCATCTCTCGGAAAACTACCTGAGAAGGCCATCCCTCTTGCGTCCCATCCCCATATGATGTGTCTCTTCCCTTGCAGAGCCTTCTTCCTGGGGGAGATCGACCTCATGATCTAATGACGAAGATGAAGGAGAAAGGCAGATGGAGAACGAAGATGGTAAAAGAGGTAAAGACCGTAGGAGATGAATGGTCTGTGCTTCTGTGAGTGTGGAGTCTTTCTCAAATAAAAAAATGAACATCAGGTTTAGTTGTACATTCTAAATGATTAACGAAAACAACTTGGATGGAATTTTACAACTTTCAAATAAAGATGGAACTACTTTTGCAATAAGAAATTTGTGGGTAATAAATCAAGATTGTTAAAAATTATGGTACCGAAATTTTTATGTCAGATGTATATGTTATTGAATTAAGTTTAAAATAATTTGGGACTAAACAGTAACAAAAATTAAATTAATAAGGATAGTTGTAATTGTACTTTTTAGTAATTATTAATTTAATTCTAATTAATTAAAAATGATAGTAAGTGTGAACAGGGGCGTACGCTAAGGTTAGCGTACGCCCGGGCGTACGCTAGCCTGAACCATATATATATATGGAAGGAATTGGAATGTAATAATATCGATTCATACAGATATAGAAGAAACCATATATATATATATATATATATATATATATATATATATATATATATATAGTGGCGTATTCGGCGCACCCACTTTTTTGGGTGCACTCAGTGCACCCGCCTCATAATCATCATTCTGAACATGCGATTCATGTCAAAACGGTATCAATTGTTGCTTATGATATTATGAACAAGAAGCACATGAATTTGAAAAAAAAAATCATTTAAAATGTACTTTAATTTGAAGGATTTAGGATTTAAGGGTTTAGGTTTACTATTTGGGATTTTGCATTGGGATTCAAAATTGAAGGTTAAGGGGTTAGGGTAATTGATTCATTTGTTATGATTCTATGTCATATCATCATATTAGATTGAGAGTACTAATTAAAGTTCAAAATTTGATGTACTATGGACACATTTAGAGATGGGAGTACTGAGTGCACCCAAAAAAGTGAGTGCACCGAAGTAGCCACCATATATATATTATATAGGGTTACTATCTTAAATTGACCGGAATGTTATACTATACATTTGTCAGCAATGCTAAAGAAAGGTTACATCATGTCTAATATCACTAATTATTTGTCTAATATTTCAATCTAAGTTTAAATATTATTTTCTGATATCTCTAATTTATATTTAAAATTGAAAATAAAATTAAAAAAATTTAAACCAAATCACTATGCATTGCGAGTTTGCTAGAGAAATTGTCGAAAGATTATAAAAAAATTTGTCGGAAGGAGGAAAGCATATGAGTATTATGTCGACTTTTCCCTCTACTTCTCTGATGTAGGGGACAACAATCCAACTTAGACACCTCTTCAGTGGAGTGTAGCGAGACACGCTCACGTGCATGAGCATACGTACATTCTCTATTGGGCTTATTGTCTTTTGATTTAAGTCTAACCCTACGTTGCTTATGAAAAGGTTATGGTACATATATATGTAATATGTGTTAAGCTGTTGCGGTATGTAAGCAACAGAAACCTAGCATAATAAAATAACGAGTAGCTCTACAGAGCTCTCTGTGGAATAAGGTCATTCAGTATGAATGACCAGAATCACATAAACTCTTTGTTGTGTGATTGTTTAGCTTCCGCGAATTATCAGGTTTCTACATGGTATCCTAGCTGCAAGGAGATCTAGGTCTTCATTGATTCAGGATGAGCGATAGTGACGACAAATACACCAAAAAGACAAGCGTATGTACCAGCGGAGGTAGGGACGTTAATCCCTCCTCACCATGCTTCATTGACCAATCTGATAATCCCAATCAAGTCTATGTTGGAGAACTTGTCATTGATTCGAACTATGTCGATTTATTTCATGATATGACTAATTTGCTTCTCACAAGAAAAAACTAGGGTTTGTTGATGGGTCAATCAAGGCTCCAACAAATTCCTGATCAGCTACGGACTTGGCAACAAGCAAATGCAATGGTCAAAGGCTGGTTAACCTTGGCCATGGAGAAGGATATGCGTAAGGGACTCTCTCACTCGAAGACTGTGCATGATATGTGAGTCGATCTAAAAGAGCGGGTTACCCAAGTAGTGTCCTTTGAGTCTATTAGGTTTATTCTACCGCAAGAGAAGCTGACAGTACCTTCCTTCTATACCCAACTATGCTCGGTGTGGGATGAGGTACAAGCAATGGCGCCCGTCCATGCTTGTTCGTGAGGTCAGTGCGTATGTGGATTTGATAGGAAGAACCAAGGTTGTGAAGAGAATTTCAGGTTGTACGATTTCTTCATGGGCCTCAACGAGTCATTCTCGATAGTGAAAACTAAGGTTCTTTCTATGAAAATTATGCTCACTCTCTCTGAAGTTTACCAGCTTGTTTCTTAAGATGCTCAACGTACAACGCCACTTCGCTACCTCAGACCATCCCACTCCAAATGCGATAGCCTTCCTTGTCTAAGACGATAAAAGCCGCCCCATAGAAAAGCTAAAGTGTTCCCATTGTGAGAAGCAGAGGCATGTTTGTGAGATATATTTTTAATTAACTGGTTGGCCGGAACGTTCAACTGAAGAATGATAAGGGAGACAAGGGTGGTCGTCTTTGGAATCCCCCTCGTGCTCGACAAGAGCCTAAATCAGGCCATGTTGCTTCGACCAACAACCCAATTCATAGTATGTCAATGGCACAGTTTGAGCAACTTATGTCTTTCTCTCGGCCAATAATAACAGTTGTGACAATCTCATCGGAAAGATGACATGTACCTCTTCTCCTGACGCTATTGAGTGGGTTATTGATACAGGATACAATGAACACAATGCAAAAGTGACTCACCCAACTACCATAAAATAAATCCCGACTAGAGCCCAAGTATAACCTCCATAGGTGTGTAGTATAGGGCAATCATTTTAATTGTCAACCCGGGCGGTCCATGTACCCCTAATTCAATCGCTTAAGTTGTTATCTAGCAAATGATTTTGGGTTTAAAAACTAAGCAAACTACAAAGTAAACAAGCAAGTAAAGTAAATCGAGGTTTTTCCAATAAGAGAAGAATTCACTCGGGTATTGCTCCCACTAGCTACGTATCAAGATCGACAGAATAAAATGCAATTGTGTGAAGGTGTGTTCATATACCATTAGGAGGGTGCAACTAGTGAAGGAACTTTACTCTCTCGGTTGAAAGGTTAAAGAATGATGAATTATGCTAGGATACTAGCTCTCTTGGCCAATCGACTAAGGCCCTGTTCACTTCCATTTTCGTTTCCTGTTTTCATGTCATAAATTTGGCAACCAAAACGAGAAAGTGTGTTTACTTTTCATTCTATTTTCTATTCGTTTCCAACTATGAAAACAAAAAGTGGCAACTTCCTGCTGTTTTCGGAAACGACAAAATGTTGTTTTCACCTGTTTTCAACATATGTTTTCTCAAAAACAAGAAACAGAAATGAAAGTAAACAGGCCCTTAGGGTTCCAAAGGCTACTCCCTCGAAACTTTATCCGGGTGGCAAAATAACAATCAAATCAAAGTGCTAAATCGAAGTTTGAGGCTTGCCCTAAATTGTCCTAGGCGGGTGACTCAAATGGCCAAGAAATCTAGTTTCTCAAAGCCTCTGACAAGAGGGGATTCCTTCCAAAACCAAAACCATTAGCTTAAGTTGAATAAAATTAGTATAGTATAATTAGTACTTGGGGCTACATAAACATTAACCAAAACCATATTTTTAGGGCTACGAAAATAATATAATCCAAACTCATAAACAAACACAATTAACTAATCGAAACATAGACTATAATTAGCATTGCAATAATATGAGTATAGTAAACAAATTCATCTAAATTTATAACTAACTAACATCAATCATACCATAATTAATCTAAATATCTCTAACTACTTATGTTTGCCACTAATAGTAAATCATTAAATACATACATATAACTACTAAAGCATCAAAATCTAAACAATACGGAATTATACATACCGAAAAATTGTAGCTTCTATAACCGTAGTTGCTGGAAGCAGGCTGAGAAGGGGATTTTTGCTTAAATTTGATAGAAATGAGGGAGAGGCTACAAAATGGGCTGAGCAATGGGGATATATTTTTAAGCAACCGCTAAATGCGAGAGGGTATTTCTTTGATAAACATAGTGTATTCACTGCCGTTGTGCAAAGTGATGAAGGCATTCACCGTGTTGCCCTAAGGCGGTGAAGGTTTGCTTGTTGTGACCTAATTATTCACCTACTAAAGGTGGAAAACGTGGCAATTGTTCACAGTTGTAACCTAGCGCGGTGAAGACTTCACCGCTTTGGACGACAGCGGTGAAGTATTCCCCGCTTTTAATTAAGGCGGCGATAATTTGACTGTTGTTAACAAAGGCGGGAAATCGTTCACCGTTGTTCTCTCAGGCGGGGATAAAACGGTGATAATTTCACCGCTTTTCTTAGACGCGGGGAATGACTTCATTGCGTTAGACGACGGCGGTAAATGTCAAACATGTATAAATTGGAAAAAAAATAAAAAACATGTGTATTTTGGGATTTTTTTCCAGCTAGCTTAAATTTCCATAGATGTCAACATTATTCGCTGCAAACTATATATAGCACCAAAATCGAGCAACACCTTCGGGAAGAAGGTTCAATCGAGATTACATAATTAAGTCTTTGCATTCATCAAAACACATGATCGCCATCCCCACACGCAGCCAGCTACAAAGATTATATGTATTCTACTTACATGACTAGCTAATCAACGGGATGGGAGGGATGAACAACCGATTCAATGGATTGATTAATCGTCATGGTCTAGGCCTTCCGCCGCAGGAATAAGTGATTTTGCACCACTCGCTCACAATGATGGTGTACTCATGGATAGGGCGAGCCAAGAAAGTGGGCAGCCGGAACAGCAGCTCGCACACACACTCATCGTCCACATCCCCAACCCACTTGCAGCAGTTGTTCTCCGCCGGTGAAGCCGGCCTCTGATCTCTCTCCATCCCACCACCACCACCACCACCGTCTTCATCGTCATCATTGTCATCATCATCTCCTCGCCGCCTTCCATGCCCATTATTACTATGCCTCCCACGGCGGTGCCTGTGCCCATCTCTCCGCCTTCCAGACCCAGGTTCATCCCGCGAAGAAGAAGAAGAAGATGAGCGATGATTGCGATGATGTCGTTGTTTCTGTCGATCATCATCACCATCGTTACTCCGTCTTCCTCCTATTGCTTCCCCTTCCCGGCCTGTTGTAGGATCCCTGTTGCGGCGGCCACCATCCTCCGTGGCGGCCACGTGGAAGAGAATGTCGGAGGGCTGGGGAATGGAGGTGGCAGTTGGCATTGGAGGGTCGGTGAAGGGGAGGGTGGGGATGACGCTGGCGCAGGCATAGTTGGCCAGGGCTAGCTGGGAGACACACAGAGGACGGAAAGGCGAAGAAGGTCTAGCGAAAGCAGGGACGACGCTAGCGGTGGAAATGGGAAGATTGGGCAGCAATAATAATGCTGAATAAGATGAGAGTACTGCAAGTATCATCGAAGCAAGCTTCATTTGGATCAATTTGCCCTTACTTTTCGATCATGGATCTCACCTCACCTTCTATATCTCCACTTCCTACCTGCTAACAAGCTAGCTTCTACCCTGCAATTCAAGCGCCTCTTGCATTGCCTTGTAATGGAGGGGGTGGAGGGCAATTGTTAATGAAGTGCATTCATTCGGTTTGTGCTGCTCAAAAGATGGTTAGGTGATGTGCAGGTAGAAAGGCCAGATATATTGGCTTCTGAAGGCAGTTCGGTAGGGTTTCATCATCCCAACTTCTTGGAGCTAAAAGGACATAACATTGATGAACCCTTCAAGGGCAATCTTTTCTTTTAATTAACCTTTCGTTATCTACTAAATCTGGTTGAGTGCTGACCATTCTGCAGTGAAGAACCAGAAAATTGCTAATGCGCCTGCAGAAGGGCTATTCCTATTCGGTACTCCTTAACACTTCCACCTTGCAGTAACCCTTACTATCATGCAGTTTTAGCTTAGGTAGCCTATATATAGAAAGTTATTTAGCAGGAGCTGCTATGCAAACACTAAGCGTTTCGAACGAACGACTGCCCTTTTCGATATAAATCCATAGTCTTCCCCCAAATGAAGTTCACGGACCACATTAACTACAGAGTATGATGGATTCTGCTTCATTGCAAGAAACAAAGAGCAATGGACTTTCGGTGTGTTGTATTCATCTATCATATAGAACATTGTGGGCTCCCCCAGAAACAAGTGTCTGGAAATTCTATCAGGCAGCGTTACATGGAAATTATTCTGAGACAGATTCGATACTGAATCTGATTACAGATGTTGTAGCTCTTCCTTTTTTTCTATGGCACAATTCGGCCTGAGCACGAGAAAGTTATAACACAGGCTTCATTGACATAGAGCGTGTACTTGTGAGAAGGCTTTGCCAGGAAAGGTGGCAAACGAACCAACAGCTCACACACACATTCAGCATCCAACTCGTTCAGCCACCTGCAACAATTCTGCTCTGCAGGTGTGGAGGTTCGATGATGGCGATGGTGGCCCCGCCCATGCCTGTGCCTTCCTCGACCTTGACCAGGCGGGGAAGGAGAAGACGTTGGAGATGTCGGCGGAGGAGGCGGATTAGAGGACGACTTTAAAGAGAGCGTTGGAGGAGGAAGAGAGGAAGGTGGTGGCAGTTGCATGAATGGCAGACTGCCACAGGCATAGTTTGCAAGTGAAAACTGTGAAGAACATAGTGGAGGCCGGCTTCTCTGGGCATCTACCTTGTCCACATGAACAAAGACTAGGAGAAGGGCTGCAAAATAGAATAAAGCAAATGTTTCCACACTTCGCATTTTGCTACCATAGACTGAGATGGAGAAGAAATATAGAATTGATTGTATCGGATGATATTTTAGTAATAGCCTCATATATATATGGGATCCCATATATTTATATATTATGTTCATGCAGATATAAACAACAATTTGGCAGCAAGAAACGGGAAGTAACAAACCAAAGAGTGTGTTGCTTCTTTGGTAGTTGACGTCCGCAGTTATTTCTGCCACTCATCTTTAATACATGAACTGAGTGTTAGGTCGCAGCATACTCTTTAAACTAAGGAATGGACCTAATTCCCACTGTCATATGCGCCAGAGGAAATCAAAGTATTCTGAAGATAACCGCCAGAGGAAATTAAAACAAGTAAACAAGTGTGCAAGATCGCATATACATTGTGGTGAAGTAAAATATTGTCGTACCTGGAAATGATGGCACCACCAAGCTGTTCTATCACTTCAGCGACAATCAACTGGGTCAATATCGAATGCACGGCATCACTTCTGTCAAAATGTAAACTAATCGAATTTCATAACAGTTACCATTTTCAAGCATGGTGCAACAGCAAGCTCAGCTGGTGAAGGTCAAAGTAAAACGCAATCAAATTCATGCCAATGCAGCCTGCCAAAACTAGCTAGCTGTTTTCACGAATTCGAAATTGGCCCCTCCGCTTCTTCTCCCTTGTTAGATTCGTCGCTGCTTGTTTCCACATCGAAATCATTGCTCTGCGTTATCGCAATTTCGAGATCCTTCTTGACTATGTCCCAACGATTCGACAAACTTATCTTTTACTTCTAGCAATGGGTCTCGGTCAATCAACTCACTGCCACTGTAAGCTTCTCTTAGCATCCCCCGTCTTAATTCCCCACTTTGATTGACATATAAAATATCCCAGAATGTCTGATGAAAACACTTGAAAATGCGTTGGAAAACCTGTACTTTTCACAAAACTTCCCAAGAATTGCGACTGGAACCCTCTTGAACACAGAAACCAATAGCAGCTCATGGAAAACCCCAACGGCTCTCTTCTCCATTTCGGGCGAGGATTGCTCCAAGTGTGGAGATCAACATAATGCGATACGTACTCGAGTTCCAACCAGTCCCTAACCCATTCTCTCATCTCCTTCATCAGGAAAAAACCTGGTGGAAGCTTGTAATTGAAATTAGGTCGAACCCTAATCCCTGATAATCTAGATTCTTCATCAGCTCTCTGTTCAATAACCAATTTCGCAAAGTCGGGTTCCAATCCACTAGCCCTAGAAACGATTGCCCTTCCCCAAGATACCCCAACCAGCCGAAAGTAGTTAGGATACTTGCGCACCAAACTAACCACGAAATCATTAGGAAAACCGAATTCCCTCTTCACATGAACCAATTTATCTGCCGTTAATTACCTTTTCCTTGGCCATCATCAACAACTTGCACAGTTTGGCAACGAGCATCTCCTCATTGTCAAGCTTTATCCTCTTCTCCTCTTCCAGAAAATTCATCAACCATTGGCTGGGGCGAATGAACAGAACCGGCTCAGACTTGGGTTTGATTCGATTGTAGAAAGTATCGAACAACAGTGGATTACGACGGAGAAAAATTTTGATCTTGTCCATGGTGCAACCTCTCGCGCCTTGTCTCTAGGTAGGATAGTGGGATTGCTTGGCCCGGTTCGCTCAACACCTCTCTGACGACACGTGCGCAGAGTTCGTATCTCTCATCTCTCTCTATGGCTTCATCTTAGCATCGGGTCCTTCCGCCACATAACCTTGAGGCTGGAAATGTGCTTGATTTCGGGGACCAATCTAGGGTTCACCACTGATCTGCGAATGGCGGGAGCAAAAATTGAGCGGGTTCTGAGAACCATAACGGAAAATCTAATGCCGGCTTCGTGGAGTCGATGAACGAGAGAAGAAAGCTGGGAGTCCCAAAGCCAGTGAGGAGGAAACTGAAGAACGATTCGTGAATTAGGGATTTTGGCGCTTAAACCCTTGCGTGAAGATTTGACGGGTCGCTAAAACGACAGCACTTTTGTGGCTGATCGGTATCATAGAGAGGAGTAGGATGATAATGGTCAATGGAGGGGTTGTTTGAACAACTCTGTTTTTAGAATCGGGCCGGAACCGGAAGTTGAACCGGAAAAATTAGTGATTTAGGGTTCAGTGGTTAGTCGTTACAAAACGTTGATAAAACTCTTAATGATAAATAATATATAAGATTTGTATATTACACTAATTTAAAAATGAAGTTATCATTGGCCATAAACAATTTCAAATTCATATCATCACCAAAATATCTAATAAATCATTCAAACCATCTCACTAAAGAAATCATAATTTTTTTATTCCAATTAAAAATTACGGTGCCAGTTAGTAGTGGACAACGTAAAATCAACAAGGTTGTAAACTGAGAAGAGGAAGCAGATACAACATTAATAATTATAGTTTGATAGTCTTAGTTTATGTTAAAATACTTTTAAAAAATTGTATGGTAAAAATAGTGAACCAGTGGACCAGTTAAACCGTAGTGATTCATCTGGTTTTATGTTGAACCGTGAAAAATCGTGGGGACCAATCTAGGGTTCACCACTGATGTGCGAATGGCGGGAGCAAGAATTGAGAGGGTTTTGAGAACCATAACGGAAAATCTAATGCGGCTTCGTGGAGTCGATGAACGAGAGAAGAAAGCTGGGAGTCCCAAGCCAGCGAGGAGGAAACTAAATAAAGATTCGTGAATTAGGGATTTTCGCGCTTAAACCCTTGCGTGAAGATTTGACGGGTCGCTAAAACGATAGCACTTAAGTGTTGTTATAACAACATGATTCATTAAGGGTATAAGGGTAAACTTACCTAAAATCTAATAAAATTAAAATATATTTAGCTCACTCACCTCCTTCACACTCTCGTTGGATCTCGATTCTTCTTCTCCCCTGTCGGCTTCCCTGTAAAATCAAAACCCTCACCGCATTTCAACTCTGTCGTCCCTCCTTCGTAGCTCGGATCGCGGCCTCCGAGGACGGAGATGAAGAAACCCAATCCAATGCTAGAGATGCGCTCCTCTTAACGAGGATCGATTCTGGGAACCGAACGACCTCCAACCGCCGCTTCTCCCTCCATACAAGGACGGAGATGATATTCCTTGTGCTTCAGCCGTGACTTCCGCATCGTCACTCGTCGAGCTCGGTGCTATTGTCCTCTCCACTGCCGACCCTTTCACCAAGTCCAAGCTTTCTCACCGTGCTTTCTCCCGGTGGGCCGATGAAGGCCTGCCGATTGGGTGCCGCACCCCGCCGGACAGTCCTGCCCGCCCATCCCAAACCTTTTCTACTTAATTACAAATATGTGTCATTGCCGATGGCATACAAAAAGGAGGGGGGAAAATTAGGGGAAAGAGCCCATTGACTATGACGAACCTTCTCATCAATGGGCATGGTCAAATATGTGAGAGTTCTACTGGTCATTATCGCATACAACGAGTCGATATCATAGTTTTGATGAAGCTATCAAAGACTTTGTCTTTGTAACAAAAATTACCAAAAAAATATCAAAAAGCAAACCACTTAATTCAGACCACAAATTGCCTAAAACACACTAAAAATCCCAAAAAGCAGACCACAAATATTTTTATAAACACACCAAAAACTTTCTAAGGCATACTAAAAACACGGTAAAACAAACCACAAAAGCACTCCAAAAACCTCCCAATACATACCACAAATCACCTAAAACAAACCAAAAAACTCACAAAGAAGACCACAAATATTTCATAATCACACCAGAAACCTCTTAATGCAAACCACAAACACAGTAAATCAAACCACAAAAAAGCAAACCATAAACGTCCTAATGCAGACCTCAAATATATTAAAACAAACCAGAAACCTCACAATGCAAAGCACAAATTTTTTGAAAGCAAACCAGAAACTTCTTAATGCAAACCATAAACACGATAAAGCAAACCACAAAAAGCATACAAAAATATGAGAAATCAAACCATAAATCTCACAATGCAGACCAACATCCGGTGATCGTTGACCGTTGACTAGTCAACGAAGTTCGTTGACCAAACTCCGATGACCGTCTGTGAGCAGATTCCGATGCTGATAGGCATATTCCGGGCCCGATGACTAGATTACTATGCCGGTAAGCATATTTCGACCACGGTGAGCATATTCCGGCGACAATGGGCATATTCCGGCGACAAAAAAGCATATTCCGGCGACCAAAATTTTTGGCATAAAAATATTTTTTATTATTATTTAAATATATTTTTCATAATGACAATTATACCCCGCTTTGATTTTACACTAGGTCAACTCAGCTAATAAAAAGTCACCACAACTCTAGCTTCCTATTGGTTGGAGACTAGTGTTGTTACAGTAACAACACAAGGGGTGTTGTCAGACTATCTAGCCCCAGTGTTGAGTGATTGCTTTTGAGAAGTTAGCTTATAGATCTAACTTTCATATAGGTGTGTTTAGGTTACACGAGAAATATCACTAACTATTTTTAAAAAAATGTATTATAAGAATAGAAAAGAATTTCAATATCTGAAATAATTCAAGTGTAATATTTCAATTATTGATTAATATAATAATTCATCCCGGCCAATAGGCTGGCCCAAAGCAGTCTCTTTCTAGAGTTTCTCTTCTCCCGGTGACTTGATCCTCAAAGGAAACCCCCGGCTCCTAAAGCCTGGTTTTATGCTTCCTCGCGAGTCAACCGACCAATAGCCGATTCGGGGCAACCAGAACACCAACCATGCAGGATCTGTTGGGGGTGTTACTGAAATACTCTGTGCACAGACTAAGTAGTAGGGCGCACAATCGGCAATGCGCAACACTCGATACCCGCTACAGGTATATAAGGGCTTGAAGCCCTCCAAAGGAAGGGACTTCTTCTCTCTCCTCACTTTCTACTTTCCACTATCTCTCTACACTTCATCTCTCTACCTTGTACTCTCAACTCTCACCTCAAGCATAAACTGACTTGATCGTCGGAGTTTAATCCAGGGAGCATCCCCGGCTCTTTCACAGGTTCTTTCCCTCCCGACGAGATCGGACGAACGGATCATGAGTCAACCCCACACCAAAAAATATCATTGTTGATACCTCGAGCTAATGGGTAAAAACAATTGGCGCCCACCGTGGGGCATGACTTGTGCTTTCGTTTGTTTGATTTCTCAAGGAGGAGAAATCTGAAGACGAAGACAGAAACCTGCGCGCAGAAAAGAAAAAAAATCCATGGAGGACGATCAGAAGAAGGAAGGGAGATCCAGAGAAGCTCAAAACAAAAGAGAAGATTCAATATGAACGACAACCCACAAGAAGGCTCTCCACTTTCAACAGCGACAGGTCATAAAAGAATCGCAACAGCAAGGGAAATAAAAAAAAATCAGAGCAATAGAATATCCGTCGACGGAGCTCCTCGTCGTCGTCGCCAACCATCATCCCGAAACCTCGAAGAAAAATCCCATATGCCTGTCTCCAGATTCAAGTAAAAGTGCAGGACTGAAAAATTCCAGAGACCGGCCACCGGAGATGGTGACGGAGCTCCGATGAGGAAAGAAGAATGTGTCGTCACCAACGTCACTTTCTCTCCCAACCTCCAAAGTTTTGTGCCTCTAATCAGGAACGAAGGAATAGTTGATGGGAAGTTTTCTCAGAGCCACTTGCTCCCTTTGTCAGAAAAAGAAAGTAGGCTCAAATATCGATGCAAAATCCTAGGCAAGTGGATACCAGACTGGAATGTGCCCCCAAATTCTGCCGCTCCTACCCATTCCGCGTCAAAGAAGAAGAAGAAAGCGAAACGCCCAACAAGAATTCGGGGTCCACATAGGCCTCCTCCAACACTAATCCGCCTCATTAGCTATCCCAACCCGCGCTGGAGGCAAGCTTCTCCAATTGGGTCTACATCCATCCAGCCCGCGCTCTTGAGTCCACCACTCAAGACTCGCAGCCCAAGTCCAAAGTCCGCCTTTTGTTATTCATATCTCTACCCCTTCAGTTTAAATAAGATCAAAATTTCCACCATGCCCACTCTCATCAGGCATACCCGCGCGTGGTGAAAGGCCAACCCGATCTGTGCATCCAGCCCGGTTCAAGTAGTATACGCCATTGTAAAAAAATGGCGCTTCTACCGTAAATCGAAACCGCGCCACTACCAAACTATGTAAGCGCACTAACCAATATGCAACAAGGCTCCGTTGCTGACATAAGCGCGGAGCACTTATTTTAATATCTCCTCACTCGCGATCCACAAGGCGCGTGCCCCAAATGTGCCCGCCATCCCGCCCAACTTCAGCTCGCGGCCCGATTCGCTTATGGCCCGCCTCCTCAACACTCGCGGCTCGTAACGACTCCGCGGCCCACTCGCGGCCCAAGTCCTCCCTTCTGATCCGCCTCTCCAGCCCGCTCCACATAAGCCCGCCTGCTTAACTGTCCCGTATCTCCTTCCGCGTGCAGCCTCACACAGAGCCCGCTCAGGCCGCTCCACATAAGCCCGCCCGCTTAATTGTCCCGTTTCTTCTTCCGCGTGCAGCCTCACACAGAGCCCGCTCAGGCCTTCCGCGTGTGCAAAGCCGGCCCAAACTTTCGCTAGCGGCCTTCCTTACCTCACCCGAACCCGGTAAGACGGATTAGCACGGCTCGCCTGACCAATATGCGGCCCAATTACCAAGCTCGCAACCCGCCACCTCTTTCAAGCCCGCTCAGCTTCCTCGCGTAGATAAAGCCCAAGTCGCGGCCCGCACTTGCGGATCCAAGTTCGCCCCGTCCATCCTTCCTCCACTCCGAGCCAAAAATATTTTCGTCGCCGCCAATACTTGAACCCTCGTCACTCCTCCGCTAGATAAGGAACATCACCAGTAGGCTACATACGCACGGCTCGCCTGACCAATATGTGGCCCAATTACCAAGCTCGCAACCCGCCATCCCATTCAAGCCCGCTCAGCTTCCTCGTG